ACAGATTGATTCCACAGATTAACAAAAGAAAAAAGTCTGATTTTATTAGATGGAGAGAGAACTGGATGACAAGGGTTTGATAATATGAGATGGAAGCCCTACATTCATAGGTCACTTGTTTACGTTTGATGTAGGTCAGAGGTGACCTTTCTCATCTGACAATTGTTCAGTGGCCTGTGTGAAATGAGTTGGTAGTCTCAGTCCACTGCTTAGTGGAGTTGTTCAGTTAGAACTAATTGGTATCTTTGCTGGCAGTTTCAGAAGACATGCCAAGGAATGGCTAGGCCTAAAAGCCATACTGCCCTCTCCCTCCTAGAAAGATGATACCTCCAGAGCAGGATTGACAGGATAGCAAGAAACTCATATTTGATGGATGGTGGCAGCATCTATTCTGTGCATAAACAGAGGACTTGAGTTTCAAGTGAGGTCAATCTGGCACCTTTCATAAGCATTAATGTAATTTTTTTCCCTTTTAAAATAGTTGGCATTTGGAAATATATCTGAAACTCTCCTGCTTTAACTTTAGCTCTGAAAGTTGTTTTGTGCAGTTATTGAAATTGTTTATGTCGTGTACATATGTAATGTTATTCAAAACATAACTAAAAATAAACAAGGAAAAATTAAAGGTCTGATCCTTCACTGCCGCTGCACACACCTTCCATTGACTTAAATGGAGGGGCTTCAGGATCAGGCCCTTAATGTATGCCTAACTTCTAACTATTCTATCACTATCATATATATATATTGCATTCAGCAAAGGAAAAATAATGAGCCAGAAGAAATGTTTCCACTTTTCACTTGTCCTTAGTCTGAAATAAATTGTACTTATATTTACAACACAAAAGGATTGTGCACTTACAGTAAACATACATGACTACAGGATTTTGTGTTCCGAGTCAGTGATATGAAGTCTGGCTTATGATACCTCTTCAAACCATGCTATATAAACTAGAAAGGTGAACTTTCAAAATAGAATTCAATTTTGGTAGTGCTTTTTAAAAGATCCATATCTAATGCACTTCAGAGTATTACTTCAAAAAAGAAAAAGAAAAAACCTAAAAGGGGACATGCCGCTATTTTCCTTTTGCTTACATAATAGTACTGAACAGGGGAAGTCAAAGAGTCTTAACTGCAACATCATAGCTAATGCTGAAGTGCACTTTGTTTCAACAGCTATTATTTAAGTATGAGAATCACACCAAACAAATACCTTAATATTTACAATGAAGTGAACTGAAGTAAATCCATACAGAATTCATGCTATAGTGGTCAAGAATATGCCTCCTGCATTTCTAATGTGGCATTCTGTTTTAAAGTCATAGGTAAAATCATCCATCTGAACTTCCTAAAACACAGGAAAAAGAAGATCCAGACTTCTAACACCTATCTGTACTTTTTTACTGACTGATTTCAATACACCTTCACAGAACACAATGTTAAAGCTTGGGGCAAATAGTTCTCTCCAGTCTCTTACTATTCATTAACCAAGTTTATAAAATTAGGGTTTGAGAGCACTACCCAACTCTGATCCCTTCAATGACAATTGCGGGTGCTCAGCAGCAGGGAGGATAGCGATATTCAAGATTTCTTTACATTTACTTTATTTCTTGTAAATAAGTAAGCTCCTTGGTAATCATAATCATACAGTCTTAAACAGTCTACTTTTTAACCATCCCATATTTGTCTCACTTTTTCCCCCCTATTAAGGGCCTACAATAATAATTCAGAATATTTTCCTCAGGATGAAAGAATGACAAGACTTTATCACTATAGCAACTAACTAACTGGTACAGTGCAGGTCTGTCTTCAACCATAGGATGGAGCCACTATCCTTAAATATAATCTAAACATTTAGGGAAGAAAAATGGCCAGGTTACCATCTTTACCACTACAAAAAGAAAACACTAGTGCTTTATAAAATAAAGAATAAATAAAAATCTTGTTGACTGTACATGCATCTCCTGAAAGCTCTCTCTAAATTTCCACAAATGTGCTAAATTCAATTCAAAGTATAACATCAGTTGCTCTTACTAACAGAGCTGTCCTACACAACAGAAACTTATTCCTAATAATAAAAATCTAAAGTAATAGGGAAGGGAAACAAGCAGCCGTCATACAACTGCATTGTGAATACGCTGTCAGCATGAACAGACTGATAAAGCAAATGAGCAATACAGACAGAACAGTTTAATTTGCATTTTTCATTTGCTTTTACAATACTATAAAAGTTCTGTCTTCACTGGAACCACAGCTCCAGGGTTTCACACACAGTTATATAAAAAGGATACAGTTAGGGATATAAATCCTTGCTGGATTTTTTTTTATTGTTTTAAGGAGTATAACATATAAACATTTACTACTTTATAATTAGCAAAGCTGTGTGTGTGTGTGTGTGTGTGTGTGTGTGTGTGTGAGAGAGAGATCTAAAGTCTTAGTGTAATTTCCATTACTTGAAGCCATAAGTGTGTGAAAATGTTGGCTAATAGGTTATGTTTTGGTGAGTATTTTTAAAATATTTTGATAAAAGTAATTCAAGACTCTTATTTCTCGTTAAAGAAAGGAAAAAGACTCTGCCCTTAATGAACAATACATCATATGATGAATGGAAGACTAGACCTATATGAATCTGAAGAGAATTGGTGTAATACTATAAACTATGAGCTAGTATCTATACTCTTCTTCCTAAGATTTTTAGGCATCTTTACTCTTTCCTTCAGGGAAGGAATGTTATTAACAATTCTTCAAGTACTATAGCAGATAGTATGTAAATAATACTTCATTAACATTTGGAATTGCACCTTCAGTCATTAACTCAGTGAAACTCCTCATAAATGGTGAAGTGACAGGACACTACATGTTTTAGGCTGCCTGGTGTTTATTCAGCACTATATGGTACAAAGAATATGGTATGTTTGATCAACACCATCTAGTATAAAATTTGCTGGCAAAATAAATTAGTGGTTGCTCATTTAAACACAAGGCATTGTCTGCATATGCCAGTTAACATTTAATTATTCAGCACCCATAAGCAATGCTAAAAATATACTGAACAATAATTAACAATAGAATTGAAGGCAAAAAATCCTCTCCTTTCACAGAACAATACCAACTCTCTCATCCTTAAACACCAGTATATATATTATAAAAAAAATTCTAAAAAGACTCCTTCTGATAGTTGTTGGTTTTTACAGTTAACCCCTTACTGGACTGTAACTACTGAAGGTATATTCAGAGGAGAACCCTTGCCATTTTCATCTGGGAAACCTGTGACTCTGGAGATATGCACTTTCTAGAGAAAATCTTTATAGAAGTTAATACAGATTTAATAAAATAAATAAAATAAAATACAGTTTAATCCTCATTACACTTTAATCACCCTCTAATATGCATTTATTGATTAGCAGAACACATCTCCCAATGCACTAAATTCTGTTAAATCTTAATAAGTTGTTTAGGATATCCTCAGTGTTTATGAGCAAACTGAATACTACATCATGTACAAAATAGAACTGATTAAAAGGGAAGCATATTTTACATTATTTTAATGAGCTATTTAATTCAGAATGTATTAAATTAAAATAAGTGCTTACAAAATAATTCTACATTACACTGGAATTATCTTTTAGAAAGCATCATGAGCTTCTGTCACACAAAGCAGTGAATGAAGATTGTCAGTGTCATGAGCTACTATAACGTGTAAAGCAGTGAAGGAAAGGTGCTCATGGCTAGTTGCAATCTCATTTCAGAGAATGCTGGGGGATGGTAAATTTGATAAGGGTTTGAGAGAATAGAATGGAGGGTAACGAAATGCCTTAGGCACACTCTTTAAAACGAGAATCCATTTCTTTTCCATCATACACATCATACCACTACAGCTCATCATGACAAGCTTTCCCCAGAATGTCTACTTTACATTTATTAAAGGAATATCCATGTCACATAAATTACAGATCCCAGCCAAGTCAAGTGACCAATATATGGAGAATACAGCATGGGTTAAAATGGATTGTTGACAGTTAAAGTTGTACATGTACTTGTCCCTATATTGATATGGTTTATTATAAACACAGAAACTATTTTTAATTTTTTTTACTTTTGCTGTTGAATGCTCAGTCTAGTACTGTGGACAATTTTGTCTTTTTGCAAGAAGATGGTCAAACTATACCTACATTACATAACTGTTTGAGAACTAAACTTACTGGGAGCAATAACACTGATTGCATTATCAGTGTTAATATTTGATTTTTCAGCCAAAAATAAGCACATTTTTTTAAAAAAAATTGTAATACTTAGGGTATCCATTCCTAACAACAATGTATACCCCTCAAATCTCTGCAATTACATTTTTGCCCTTCAGTATTTTAATCCGAGAATGTCAACCCTGCAAGAAACTAACATACAATCATCAAGTGATTATCTATCAAACAGCTGTAAACTCCTGATGTGGCTTTAGTATACTGCTGAGGTAGTGCTAAGGAAATTCTGGGGTTTGTTCCAATGCAATTTCACAGTCAGAATCACATATGATCCTGGCAACATTAAGACATCAGTCATAGACTAAGCATGTGCTCTCCCTAAGAAAAATCAACCTGAGAAAATAACTCTTGCTCATGAAGTATGTGAGTGAAAAACTGTGGGGGGAAAGCATTCCGACTCAAAGTTGATTACATTTAATAAACATTGGAACTAATCACTATGGAATATTCAATTGGATTATGCTTAGTAAAACTAAAGTTTGTTCTTAAAATCAAAGAGAAATACTCTATCGATGTTTGAAACACCACAACTACAATCTAGGAGTATCTCAAGGGTTCTTCTGTAATAGTAATATTAAAGCTTCAGGTCTTATCTGCTTTTTAATTTGGAGGGAGAGGAAGAAAGAGAATCTAGAGCATAGACTAATGTGTTTTTTGAAACCTTGGCCTTTAAGATATGCATTACCTCGGCTGGAAAGGGCGTGGATTTGTGTCCAGTGGAAGCATCAGAACAAATGTACTTACTGCAGTAGGCGATTAGAAGACTAGCCAGGATCATAATTGCCCAGAAAGTTGAGGACATGCTTGGCAAGGCGTTGGCATCTTTTCTATTGTTTGTCCTGGGAGATGGAGCCATTGAAGCCACTTTCCCGGAGCAAAAATGTCAGTTAGTTTCACCAGCCAGTTCTCCCCTTGACGGATCGTCTTTCTCCACGTGTAATCCCCAAAAAAACCATCTTCACAAGACCTAAGGGTTGAGCATCGGCAACCCTGTCATGCTGCAGGAAGCATCTTTCAGCAAGAAAGCAAAATAATTCTAAAACATAGAAAAACCTCTGTGCAGGGGGGGCCTTCGATGGGTTTCCTCCTGTACCGTGGCACCAATTCACTAGCGTTTTGGATGTTGCTGAGCTTAAGATGCTACTGAGCCACAAATGAGGCTTTTTATTTGAGAAAGTTTTTTTTTTTTTGGTTTGTTTGTTTCCGCCCCCTCCCCGCGCGCGGGGGGGACAAACACCCCCTAAATTTTCTTAAATCAAATCAGTTACAGTCGCGCGGAGACTCAGATGGAACTTCCCCACCCCCACAACCCAAAGGCAGCTTTAGGGTAACCCCCTGGCCAACTGCAACCACTGCACAGTCCAATCCAGCCCTCAATGCGCAGCACCCGGGGGGTGGCGGGCGGGTGGCGGGACCCGATTCACGCGCCGCCCCCGGCTGGCCAGGTGACAGCCGGTAACTCCACAGAGGCAGGGAACCCAGGCAGATCCGCTCCAAATGCCGGCGGGGGCGGGCTGGGAGGGAGCCCGGCGGGAGCTACGCCTGCCAACAGCTGGGGATGGCGACGGAGTCAGGCAGACACGGCGGCCGGGGAGCCCCAGAGCAGGAGGTGCCAGCCGAGCCAGGTCTCCCCTCCCGTCGGATCCTCGGGGCTTGGCTGGCGAAGGGGCGCGCTGGCGGGCGGCGGGGCGGGGCAGCAAGAATCCCCGGCTCACGGGACACTTTACACAGAGGCGGCTCTGAGGCCGCCGCCGCCGCAGCAGCTCCCTCAGCCGCTCCGCTCCACGCGCCGGCTCCGCTCTCGGCCCCTTGGCGCCTCTGCTGCTGCAGCTGCGGCGGCGGCCCTGACAATAAAAGCGGGGGTGGGGGGGAAGAAGCGGGTCACGCCCACAGGTGAAGGGCGCTCGGGAGCTGCCCCGGCCAAGCCCGGGGCGCGCCACGCCCGGCGGCCGTTACAGAGGTTGGGCGCGCAGGGCGCTTTCCCCCGGCTGGCCCATGCTGGCTCTGGGGCGCACGGCGGCTCCGAGTGCGCCTCTGGCTGCCTGGCACCGCAGCTTCTTGCAGATCCCGGCTTCCCGGCTTTCCCTCCTCCGCTCCGCGCTCGTTTTGACACCGAAACCACGTCGGAAGCGTTTAACCCCCTGCGGGTGGGAGCGTCTCACGGAATCCAGGCTCCAGGGCGGCCGCTTCCCGCTAGAGGACGCCTGAGCTGGGCTGCATCTCGGGCAGCAGGTGCGTGGGGTGAGCGGACAGGAGCAGAGGGGGCGAGCCCTCCCTCCGGCCGCCTGGGTCTATGGAAGCAGCGCGGGCTCCTGCCTGCCCATCTCCGAGCAAAGTCAGGTTGTCTCCACTGGGCTTACAGGCGGGAGGGATCCGCTCCCCGCCACCTTCCCACCTGCTGATGGATGCAGAGCAGCGCACCTACTCCAGGGAACTCCGGGGCAAACTGGTCCCTCTCCTTGAGAGGCTTGTCTAGAACTGAGAGCTTTTTTTTCTAACACAGATTCTCCCGATTAACAAAATGCGCTGCCCTGCTGAGCCGGGTGAGTAGGACAGGTAGCCACACCAGCAACGTCAGTGAGGGGGACTCTTTCCCAATTGCTCTCACTCTCTTATGAGAGGCTTTCATTATTTTTTGTAAATAAAGGTTATGCTCAATTTAAAGGAGCTAAAGAAAAGTAGTTTGGGGATTCCTCTCCTCTAGGCATCTCTTGGCCTGGCCACCCACTGTAAATATCCTGCAAGGTGTGACCTTCATTGTAGGCCAGTTTACAAGCAGGTTAATGGAAACATCCCTTCTGTATCAAAGTGTGGTCCATAGCCAGACTACTTGAAGGTACGGCAGACTAGTTCTGTCACTGTAGTGAAACATGTCCGCCTTCAAGTGGTGACATTCCAACATGCTAACAGAGGCCAGTTTAGGATTCACGCAGGCTTCAGGAGAATTTTTGATCAAACTAAACACTTTAAAAGGCTCCTTGCAGCAGAGCTTTCCATTTGGTGTCTCCTTAGCAATATGCTCAGATTAAATTTTTAGATTCTACATTAAGTGACCAAGCTCTGTGCAACTCTGAGGAAAGTGTTGAATCAGGATTGGCAGGCTGGAAAGGATTACAGGAGGATCTCTGCTCACGCTATGCAAATATTGTGAAAACACACAGCACAGTATACTTCAAGGTTGCTTTCCTTCCTTCTCAGTCACTTAACGTACCTAAAAACTGATCATTATAAATGGGACATATATTATTTTCAATAAAGGGTTTTGGTATTATAATGGTATATTTACAACTTTCCCTTCTAAGATGCCATTTCCCTTTGCCTCATTTTTCAGTGCTAACGTCCTGTTATGTCTGAGAATAGACTATAAAGCAAATCTACCATTAAAGCAATGGGCTAACCGTTTCTTCCCCTCATTGTGAAAAGGAGCATTTAATTCTCATTATTTAATGTTTAGTGACTAAATCTTTGTGAACCCTCCTAATCACTGAGATTCCACATCTTCTTTATAAATCAGTATAAAGTCCACAGTTCCTTTGGCATTCATTGAAATATACTATTTGAAAGCATTACTGCATAATCGTTTCTTAAAAAAAAATACTGGGCCTTTCAAGTTTTCCATTCACAGAACAACTCTACATAACTATTAGGAAACAAATGTCTCCACATGGTACGCTGTTTACTGTAATTCCAGTGCCAACATGTAAATTAAACAGGTCCCTGGGAATATGCAATGAAATCTGATCTCCATTACACCTGGACCCATTGAACACAGCACTGAGAAATTTATTAGAACACATTTGCAGACACAAACACCCCCAAGTTAGCAACTCTGTAACAGATACAGAGAGTTTGGTGTATGTAGAGATATGATTTAAGGCTAGAAGGAACCATTATACCATCCAGTCTGTCCTAGTATATAACAGGACACAGAATTTCACCTGGTAATTGCTGCAAATTGTCTAGTAATTTTTGTTCAACCAGAGCATCTCTCAAAGAATCCAGCCTTGAATCTAGGCTAAAAGTTAGAAGGGAGGGGGATGCTACCACCTCAACTGTTTTAGGTGGATTTTGGTTTAGGCATCCACCTTTCTTGAAAGAATGGTTTAGGCACCTGACTCCAGGACAGGGATTCCCAGCTGTGGATCACAAGCAGAGATAGGTGCCTCCTTACAGCCCAGACTTAATAACCTAAATTCCTGAGAGGGGTGGGGCCTAGGACATACCCCTCTGATTGTCATCATCTATTGGCTAACTTACGCACCCCCCCACACACACACCTCCTATGGACCCCATTGCCAGTCCTCTTCGTCTCACAATGCATACAAAGCCAAAGTGCCTCGATCTGGGTTTGTGGATTTTCAAGGTGTCTAAAAATTAGGAATTGCAATGCCAGTCCCTTTGTGGATCTGGACCTTACTCCACAAAAAGTCTTATTGATTTCAGTGAGACTACTCACAAAGTGAGATCCTGCTCAGTGTGAGTAAGGGTGGCAAAATCTGGCCCTAAATGTTTTTTCTAGTCCCCCCCCCCCATTCCAATTATAAAGTTTCTTTTGCTATCTTTGAGTAGCATGAGCTCCCCAAAAGGGGAGACAACAATGAAATCCTCTGCTCGGTGTCTGCAAGAGAATATGTTGTGAATAGGAACCAAGCAAAAGTCTGTATATCGGGACAAAATAAGCTTGTCAGTAACCAGATTTATTCTCATACAATCCAGGACATGTTTCAGAGTAGCAGCCGTGTTAGTCTGTATTCGCAAAAAGAAAAGGAGTACTTGTGGCACCTTAGAGACTAACCTTAGAGCTCACGAAAGCTTATGCTCAAATTAATTGGTTAGTCTCTAAGGGTGCCACAAGTAATTCAGGACACATATCTCTTTTTCCACATCTGCTGCTGGCAGTGAAGATGTCAACAAGGAAATTAAACTAAGAGCTAAACTGTTTATTAATATAAGGTCTGCTACTGCTCCCATTGAAGTCACTGAGAAAATTGCCACTGGCTAGGCACAGACATTGGATCAGTCCCATTGTATGCTGTATCTATGTGTCAGATCTTCTACAATACATACATGCACCACTGCTCTTCACTAGACTATCAGACCTGTAAAGTATGTATGACAACATTGCCCTCTACTATAGGTGTAGCCTACAAAGGTTAAACCTTAATTCTTATATAGTGCCATAAATGTATGCAGTGCAAGATGTATATCCTATTTTTAAATTTACAGTGTGAGCTCCCACTACTATTGAATTTATTGGAACTTTTGCCATTGACTGCCAAGAGAAGTCTCAGGCATAAATTAGACCGCACAAATACAAGCACAGTTGCACTGGTTGCCAACCAGAAATATCGGAGGCACTAGAGTTATTTTTCTATTCTAGGCAAACTGAAATACTGTGGTTTCTTAGGTACTACAATGTTAAATTGTGGCTTTAAAGAGACAGGAGCATATTGGGGTAAGCAGGAATATGTCATGTGTTAACATAGTTCTGTTTAAGGTACAATCAAAGGCAAATTAAATAACGTTTTTGTCACACTTTCTGGAGTGGTTCTCAACTGAGAATGCCAGTCTCAGGTCAGATTGTCAGAAAACAAGGCAGATACTCCAAACTGGTGATATATTCTATAATTAGAGTTCACCATGCCAGTAACAAATGTGCACTCCTGGATCACTATACCAATCTTACCATGGAGTCACAGACAGTCCCCTTGGGCTCTCAAGCCTATCCTGCTATCCACACAAACTGGACTTAGTGATAATGGTCACATAAACCAAAAATCACACCACATCTGGTTACTTCCAATCCAATGGATCAGTCACTTACTCCAGATCAATTGGTACTCTGGATCTTACAAAGGAAAAATGGGACCCCTCCTCCCCCACTCACTCCTGTGGGGCTAGCCCAAGCCACTTGCTCAAGCTCTGCCTGCCCCCTGCACAAGGCTGGGGTCACTGTTCACCCGAGCCCTGCCTGCCCCCACGTGAGGCTGTTGATGCTCAAGCCCTGCCTGCCGCCACTCGAGCTCTGCCTCTCTCCACACCCCCACCCTGAATTGGCCTGGCATCGCCACTTGCCCTTCCGCACATTCTTCCGCACCACACCCTACTTTTTGACAAAAGTGGGCATTTGTCCTGTTTGCTCTTGCCTACTGATCAAGTGGGTAAGAGCAAACAGGACAAATGCCCACTTTTGCCAAAAAGTCAGGACGGCCAGGACAGGGCTTAAAAAGGGGACTCTCCCAAAATGGGACATATGGTCACCCTAATCTCACACTAAAGACAACGCTGGCAGAAAATCCTCTAGAAAATAAACTAAAGATTTGTTAGCTAAGAAAAAGAAATTGGACTTATTGAGAGGTTAAAGCAGTAAAACACATTTACAGGCAAGTCAAAGATTGTAAATACAAAATATCAGCAGAGATGTAGTAATCTGCCAGTTTCCCCATACTCCCTCAGGGTTACCCAGAATAACTTGGAGGCTCTCCGTCTTCTGGTTCAGTTATTCCACCCTGTTAGAATTCAAACAGTCCAGAGATACAAGATCTTTCCTTGAATCAATATTTATAGCTTCTTCTCCAGAAAACAATCTGAACAAAGTCTTTACCCACTTGGACTTTTCCTTTGATTATAATGAGTAGGAAATGCAGACTGAGTCTGTGAATTCCCATTGTTGAATACAATGGCCCTCACTTTTGCAGTTAGCACTCTTTTCTTTACATTTCCAAGGCTTCAATCGCCTTTGATGGGTAATTTAGTTAGAGGGATATACACAATGTAAATGTAAGTATGGGGGTATATGCAATGTAAATGTAATGTAACAGCAAACAATGTTTCATTAGTTTTCATGAAGTTTATACAACAAACATCTTCTCATCTTAACCCTAACACACACTTTGATCTAGTTATCTAATTACTGGGTATACATAAAAAGAAAAGGAGTACTTGTAGCACCTTAGAGACTAACCAATTTATTTGAGCATGAGCTTTCGTGAGCTACAGCTCACTTCATCAGATGTATACCGTGGAAACTGCAGCAGACTTTACATATAAGTGAATACAATAACATTAGTATCTTTTTTTATCTCTATTAGCATACAAGTGAATTAGCTTGAATACACACTAATACACTTAACGTGTCTTTGATATTCAGACAGAAGTGAATTGGTCTATGGCTCTGACCTGAGCTGGTGTGACACTGTTACAGTTTTATTACCGATAAAAATTGGTTTTCTTAAAAGACAACTTTAAAAAATACCCACTGAAGTAATTGCAATGAAGGCTGTAT